ATGGTCATATTTGGCCCAAATTGGAACATATATATAAATATATATATATAAGTATATATCAGTACTCATGCCCTTGGTTAAATTGAGTTCTTGTTCTTCCACAATTTCTCCACTTGGTTACTTTGGAGAAATCTTTTTCCTCTTCTGATAAATGATGGGATTTTGAATGAATGAATAATTCAATCATAGTTATTTGCCAATTATTGTATACAAGTCTTGCCCATTTAATTTATGCACCAACTAGAAGTCCAAAGTGAATAATGGATGACTCAATTGTTCGTTATCAAAAAATATACTTGATTAGTGATATCATATGACGTGTAAAATTATTATATACACGTCTTGAAAAGAAAAAGAAAAAAAATTGTACACATGATATCATTAACCAGGTATATTTTTTATAACGACCAATCAAATCATCGATTATTTACTTTGGACTTTCAGTTGGTACATAAATTAAATCGGCTCTACCTTCATGAGTCTCTACACGATTTAAGAGTAATTCCAAAGGTCTTACCAACCCTGGATTATAAGAGTTATTTGGACAAAACTCTTAATTATATAGATATGTGTTTTCTTTTAGTTACTGAGATACTTGGTGTGTTTGAAAGTGCGATTTTGTTCTTTTTGTAAATCTTTGATACTTTTCATTAAATTTCTAGAGTAATAAGATTCAATTTTTGAGAGGTTTATGCTGGGACATTGACTCAGATGAAACGAGTTCTCTTCTTAAAAAAAAAAAAAAATTTTGAACAGTTTAACCCCACATGGAACAGTGTGAACTATGTCTCTTTGATCAGAACTACGAAAGGTCAAATGCAAGGAATGGTAACTTAGAAGAAAAAAAAATAGACCACTAAAATTGATTTTGGCAAGCAATAAAATGAAGAACCCTATGTGGTGACTTGTGACCCTAGGGTGGCCAACCCCACCACTGAGAAAAACCAAGAGCTAGGTAGCTAAGTGATATTCCCCTGCAAAAGTGTCTTTTCTCAGCTAGAATGATGGGGGAGGTGTTGTTTTGTTACTTTTGACCATTTCATGCAAGTGGTGAAAGGAAAGAACAAGACCATACAGTTTGGAAGAAGAGCCTTTAGATGAGCAAAAAGGGCGAAGGACCAAAGGGGCCTGTATGGGGTCTCTAGCTCAGGTCAAAAAAGCCTAAAATCACTCCCCTAACTATTCAAAATGCTTATTAGCTCATTGTCCATTCATTCCCACATCTCACTTCACTCCACGTATGGTCAGTGCATGTCATTTTCCCATTATTTTTTGTAACTTCTCTTTCACAGGTACACATGATTATATAACCATCTCCCTTTTTTTTTTTTTTAAATCTCTACTACTAAGAAGTAATTAACCCCCCCTCGGGTCTCTCGTTTGAGTGCACGCAGGTGGATGGTGTACTCGTTATATATCTTTCTATCTATCACTGTATGAAATGATTAAAGCAAGAATGATGACGGATGGTGTATTCGTTATATATCTTTCTATCTATCACTATATGAAATGACTAAAGCAAGAACGACGACGACGGTTTATGAAAGGGTTAATGGGAGGTCCATTTGATCAGCAATCTCCACTTGCCAGTTGCAACATGCCAAGAAGAGATCACAAGGGAGAAAAAATTGAGTGTAATTAATTTACACGTATTAAAGAGATGAATACATGGGACTCACCTTTTTTTAGCAAGAAACTCCAACACCCGTTTGCCGTTATAATGACTTGAACTCGTACCTTTCAATTAGGGATAAAGAGAAGATACTATTAATTTTACAGCATTTGGCGATCAAGTAGTTGATTATATGACGTCTTATTCAAATGTATCTGGCATGTATTTTTTATAGAGTCCCAATATGCAAGATTTAATTAATTAGTGATACTATGTCATATGACTATAGCACCCATGGTCAAGGAGAGCTTGTTCCAAGTTCGGAATGAAACTACATTAATTAGGGCACCGGCCATGCCTTTAAAACCATGGAAGATGGAACCGGTAGACCTTAAATACTCAGAAAACAAAGGTGCAAAGCCATCAAAAAAAATTCAAGTATTATTGTAAGGTTAGATCAGAACTTGAAATTGGTTAGTAATATGAAACTAGAAAAATTCAAGCATGTGTTTGCACTTTTTTCCTGTTCTCCTGTAGGCTTGTAGAATGCTTAACTTGTCATCCCACATCGCTCAAGAAGTGAAATAGTTCATGATTTATAAGCTGATCATGAAAGCATCTCACATCGCCGGGCCTAGTAACGCGGGCTTGTCTCTCTAGTGAGGGCACTAGGGTGATTGGAGATTGGGCTGGTTCAGAAGGTAAGGGCTTGGTTGGGTTAAATGACGGGCTCGCCCTATCCAAGTATGGAGTTAGGCCACGGACTCTGGGCGAAGGGCCATAGTTCTGGTCTGCTATAGTTGGAGGGTACTGCGTGAGGCTGGTTTCACAGAGCAACGACAACCTCCCGCTCCTGTCGGTGGAAGGATAACGGGCTGGTAATCCGCGGGCCCATTAACGCCTGATGAGCCTCTCCAAATCCAACAATCACCTTTTTCTTTTTCTTTTTTTCATTTAAAGTGGAATTTTTAAAAACATGGTTACGGTTTAATGTTTTGAATAAAAATTTGTTGGGTAGACATAATGGTCAAACAAAAGAAATTTGAACCAATTTACAAATGATTTTTTTTTTTTTTTTTTTTTTTTTTTTTTTTTTTTGTAGGGAAATCAACATACATATATGGAGGACATCAAGGTTTGCTTTTTGTCATTGAAATAACTATATTTTGGGAGATTAAGGGCATGGTTTTCTTCTCCTTGAATTCAATGGTGAGTTTGGGAGGCGATTGAAGCATGAATGTATCTTATCATTACTTAAAATTCAACAAAGTTGCATTGTGATGATGATCATAGGAATCATGTAAAGTTTTCTATGTCAGACTAACTTAACACAACTTTTTTTCTGGTAAATTACTAATCCAACACATTTCATGATACTCCTGGTCACAATTTCATCAATTTGTGTAATATGTTAATACATATATATGAACATAAAATCTTTGGGAAATCTATAATTAGATATTATTAATATTGAGAGGTGGATGTTCAATCTTTGCATCAATGATGAGAGTGAGATTCGTATGCATGCATATGCATGCCATCAGCAATTTAATGTTTGTGATACTATTGGAAAGTATGATAAAGAAGTGTTAGGTCAGGGAACAAGTAATGCCCTGGAATAAATTTTGATGTGAAGCAAACCAACTATTTGAGTAAAGATGATGATGGATGGTGATAGAATTAAAGGAGAATAGGGTCCATTAAAAAGTAGATGCCTTTCCCCACCACTACCTTTCACACAAGGAATTAAAGTGCTAATACATTGCCTTTAATGAAAAAAAAAAAAAAAAAAAAAAAAAAAAAACCTTATTGTTAGATCCAAGAAGTGACACAGACCTAATTCCATATCTTATCCTAAATCAGATCTTCTCTCAACAATCAGTAACTACTGACAAGGGAAATCTCAAAAAAGGGAAGAATTTAGGGAAAAGAAAGAAAATTTGTTATTATTTAATTAATGGTTTTGACATCATTTAAACTTTGTTAAAGGTTTTTCAATTTCATTAAAATCTATCGAAATGTTAATTGAAGTCCTTTAAGAAAAAGTACCTAGCACTCTATCAAGACGCATTTATCATTGAACATGTATGCAATTGAGTAATATGTAAGCCTTTTTTTCAGCTTTCAATAAATTGAAAAGTTTTATTATTGAGTATGTATTTTATTTTTATTTTTCAGTTCATGCTTAATGTTTAAGTTTGATTAATAACAAATAAGAACACTTGAGAAAATCCAGAGTAGAAATTAGTGTTAATTAAGATGAATAATTAATAAAACTCTTTTCCTCTCTTTTTATTTTTATTATAAAGAAAAACATAGGCATAATGTAAAAGAACCATTTCTCTTATTTGCTATCCACACAAAAGCTTCGAAAAGGAAGAGATAAGATCAACCCTCCCTATCGTCTTCCTTACCTCACTACAATTTAGGGAAATCTCAAAAAAGGGAAGAATTTAGGGAAAAGAAAGAAAATTTGTTATTATTTAATTAATGGTTTTGACATCATTTAAACTTTGTTAAAGGTTTTTCAATTTCATTAAAATCTATCGAAATGTTAATTGAAGTCCTTTAAGAAAAAGTACCTAGCACTCTATCAAGACGCATTTATCATTGAACATGTATGCAATTGAGTAATATGTAAGCCTTTTTTTCAGCTTTCAATAAATTGAAAAGTTTTATTATTGAGTATGTATTTTATTTTTATTTTTCAGTTCATGCTTAATGTTTAAGTTTGATTAATAACAAATAAGAACACTTGAGAAAATCCAGAGTAGAAATTAGTGTTAATTAAGATGAATAATTAATAAAACTCTTTTCCTCTCTTTTTATTTTTATTATAAAGAAAAACATAGGCATAATGTAAAAGAACCATTTCTCTTATTTGCTATCCACACAAAAGCTTCGAAAAGGAAGAGATAAGATCAACCCTCCCTATCGTCTTCCTTACCTCACTACAATTTAGGGAAATCTCAAAAAAGGGAAGAATTTAGGGAAAAGAAAGAAAATTTGTTATTATTTAATTAATGGTTTTGACATCATTTAAACTTTGTTAAAGGTTTTTCAATTTCATTAAAATCTATCGAAATGTTAATTGAAGTCCTTTAAGAAAAAGTACCTAGCACTCTATCAAGACGCATTTATCATTGAACATGTATGCAATTGAGTAATATGTAAGCCTTTTTTTCAGCTTTCAATAAATTGAAAAGTTTTATTATTGAGTATGTATTTTATTTTTATTTTTCAGTTCATGCTTAATGTTTAAGTTTGATTAATAACAAATAAGAACACTTGAGAAAATCCAGAGTAGAAATTAGTGTTAATTAAGATGAATAATTAATAAAACTCTTTTCCTCTCTTTTTATTTTTATTATAAAGAAAAACATAGGCATAATGTAAAAGAACCATTTCTCTTATTTGCTATCCACACAAAAGCTTCGAAAAGGAAGAGATAAGATCAACCCTCCCTATCGTCTTCCTTACCTCACAAACATATCTTAGAGCACCAAATCAACGACTTGACTCTCAAACAAAACAGGGTAAAGTAAACCATAAGCAAGATCAAATTTAATAACAAACAACAGTTTCATATATATATAGCAACGAGTAATAATACTTTATCTAGTTCTGTGAAGATGGAAAAATCATGGAACTCCCAGCATGATCAGATGAACCCGCCATCACCAGAGCTTCATTGGGTTCAGATAAAAAGATTGGACATGACCAACATCCAGTTGATCAAAAAGACTGTAACTGACCCGACACTACCATATCTGGAACAAGGATCCCCATTCTCTGTAGTACTGCGACGGCTCACAAACATCACACGTCTGAGGACGTGGGACGTGGTACAGCATCTGTATGGATCCCAACTATCTGAGGCTACTGACGTACCCACTAAATTTGAATTTGTTACGGCTTCTTCCTCTTCTTTTTCTCATAATCAGTCCCTCTAGCATTAGCCTGACTGTCCCTCACTTCCCTCAGATAAATCCGGACGGCGCGTGCCCCAAACGGGTTCGTCTCCGGCCGTCCGCCACTCTCCTCAAAGGCAGCGCGTAGGCGGCCGACCAGCGCATCGAGGCTTCCCCAGGCTTGGCGGACAGGGCATGGACACGGTGCCGGCGGGTGGAGGTGGCCGAAGAAGATGCAGTTACTGCTGTGAACCTTGGTCTTTCCGAATTGGTCCAGGTAGCGGAGGAATTCGAGCACGTGGGACCCGCTGATCAGGGAGAGAGCGAGTGGTGGCTGGTGGTTGCGCAGGTACTGCCTGAACATGATCCAGTCACGGCGCTTCTGGGCCTCGTAACGGCTCAGCTGCGGTGACCGCAGGGGTGGTGGGAATAGTGATAATTGGTGGTGGTGGTGGTGGTTGTTGACGCTGTATTGGGAGGTTGAACTGGTGGTGGTTGTGTTTCTGGAGTTGTACCGGCTTGCGTTGGCAGCTGCGGCGGCAGCAGCGGCTGCGGCTGACATGTTATGGGATCTTGGAGTTTGTTGGTTTGTTTCTTTGGTTAAAGAAATTTTTGGAGAATTTTTTTTTTGCACAAGAAATGATTTTGGGCAAGTGCCGTGAGAATTGTGTAACATATATATAAAACAATAGGAAGGTTTACTTATCTCTTAACCTTTAAGTTTCGTCTCTTATGTCGAGTACCGTACATAATTTCTTTTATCGGTGTAAAACCGTGTAAAGCTACGTGTATGTCTCAGCTATTACTCCTATTATTACACATACACGATGTCATAGGATAAAGTTAAAATCATGCATGTGATGTTTTTTTTTTTATCAAAATGTTAGCATAGACATTGAATTTTAGTTTTTTTTTTTCTTTTTTTTTTTTTTACCTCTTTTTATTAACTCTTTTTCGTACTCTTATAGATTGTCTATTTCTCTCTAAATATAGAGGCTTGTCGTGCATATATTATTAAGCACTGTTATTTTACTCGACTTTAAAAAAATCGATTTAATACCGACTCTAACTTATTATATAAGTGTCATGTGACTAATGGAGCTCAATTTAGAAACATACACACAATCTCTCATCTTCACTCCAATCTCTCGTCTTCACTCCTTGCAAATCACGCACAATCGTATTCTCCATTTTAACTTCTCGACTCTGACCTAATGCCATGATCATGACATTAATTTATTTTTAACACCACCATTGCATTCCTATTATATAAGTGTCATGTGACTAATGGGATCTTGGAGTTTGTTGGTGGTTTGTTTCTTGGTTAAAGAAATTTTTGGAGAATTTTTTTTTTTTTTTTTTTTCGCTCAAGAAAAGATTTTGGAGAAGTGCCGTGAGAATTGTGTAATATATATATATATATATATATATATATATATAGCACATATGTGATATAGGGAGGTGCACTTATCTCTTGACCTTTCTTTAAGTTTCGCTTCTTGTGTTGAGTCGTACATAAATTTCTTTTATTGGTGTAAAACCGTGTAAAGCTACGTGTATATCTTAGCTGTTATGTGATGTTTTTTTATAAAAAATAAATAAAAAGAGGTTACCAAAATGTTAACATAATATTGAATTTTAGTATTTTTTTTCCTTTTTTTTATTAACTCCTTCTCATATTAAAAGTTTATCTTTGGTATTAGAAATAAAATAAGATTGGTAAAACATATTCTTAGATTGACTATTTTTTTCCTATTTGGATATAATGATTTGTTGTACAAATTTTATATTTATGGAATCTTTATATCATAAGCTAAGCTATGTTATTTTATTCAATTCTAAAAAAATCAATTTAATACCAACCCTAACTTATTATACAAGTGTCATGTGACTAGTGGTGCCCAATTTAGAAACGTACACGCAATCTCTAGTTTTCGCCCCTAATCTCTCATCTTCACCTTTGCAAATCACACTCCTCACTTTAATTCCTCGGCTCTGGCCTAACGCCATGATCGTTGGAGTCTTGGACACGAGAATTTGGTCAGAACGACCAACTTTCTCCAACGACGACCTCTCTCCAGTTTCCTCTGATTATAATGGCAGCGCATATCAGAATTTTTTTTTGCGTGAAATCAAAAAATTATCTATACGAGGCTATGCCCTCTTTAAGCTCTTTCTGTTTTCATCTTTTACACAAAGCGGTTGTGGAGACTCGGTTAACCTATGAACCCTATGTTCTTCAAATCTTAATTGCTCGATGATGAAAAAGAGAACTAAGGAAACGAAAAAGATTATGCCAACCCAGGTTAAACAAAAATTAAAAAACTCGAATTTTCTCTCTTCTGTTTTTTTTTTCGTTTTTTTCTTTTTCAGAGATGAAAATCATAGTTGAAGATAATAAAATTTTCACTTATTTTTCATTTTCAGACAACACACTTTCAGACAACAGAAGTCTTTTAATGGAGAATGTATTTTGTAAAGTAAACGAATTTTAGGGAAAAAGATATACATATAAGTAAATTGATGCACACAGATCGAAAAGACACGTAAAGAGAGAAAATAGTAAAGGAAACAAAGAAGAAAATGTAATTTTGTTTAAAATATATATTACATTTTAATATGCCACATGAGACTTGTTATTACGATTAGCATATGTCGGTTTTTTATCGGTGCGAGGAAATCGTCAAAAATATTATTTTCCTATATTATTTATAATTTTTGAATATACAGTTTGTGATATATGATATTTTAAAGTTTGAACGAATTAAAATTTAAATAAAATTGCATTTTGATCTAAATATTGACTCTTTTATTAGATTTGTAATGAATAAATTATCAAATCTATTTATAGAGAGTGACAGGAATGTTACAAAAATAGGTACTTTGACTTTTTAATTAAGATATTTATTTTATGATTATTAAAAATAAAAAAGTAGATATTTATTTGGGACAAAAGAATATTCATTTGTCCAAATTACTTTTACTTTTTCATGTACGACTTAGCAAATGCTAATTTCTATGCGTACTATGTAATCAGGTATTTATTATTTTTTGTGCAAGTAAACATGGTCTTCACAAAAAAATAATAAATGGGCATAAAATGCGGTACTCACGTGTATAAGTAGTAAATAGAAATAACAAGATAATTTGTGTTTTTTCATATACCTATCATATTTTGGTCAAATTTATTTTTCTTAAAATCATGATTTTCTATTAAATAATAAATATGACTTCATAAATCCATATATCTCTAATAATCCCAATATCTTATGGAGAGAGGAGGAGACTGCGTGTGAGATCCATTATTGGTGAGACTTGAGAAAGCAGGAGTTCTTGGTCTCAATAGTTGTATGGATTGAATTTAGAGAGAGAGAGAGAGAGAGAGAGAGAGATAATTAGGGTGTAGGGAAATTGATGGGTTGTGAAAAGGAGAGGAGACAAAATGGGGGTCCATGCAAAGACTCTCCACATCGGGGAAGTGATGACAGTTTGTCTCTCTCTTAGCTCTGTCTTTGTCTGTTTCTTTTTCTTTTTCTTTTTCTTTTTTTACCCATTCTTTTGTTAAATCTAATTTTTCTGCAACTTGAATTAATGAACCAGAGTCTAGTAAAAGAATTACTCCATTGTTACAACACAGTTTATTAATTGCTTTAAGAGATAAACTTAAAATATAAAAATAAAAAAATAAATAAAAAAATTAGACTAACGATGGTAGTGTCCCACCTTTTACGTCATTTAAAAGTAGGGTGGCTATCCAAATAGGACGAAAGAGGTGGCCCATTGGTTGCTGAGATTAGTCCGCCACTTGTTCACACAACCATTCGTTTTGGTCAAATTGGAAGCTTCTGCTTCGTTTTTCTTCCTCTGCAGTACTTTTAGCTGTTGGAGTTGACACATGCAATTCTCGTTCGTACATATTTAAGATTATTTAATGTTTTTTAAACGGACTATAAACAATTTCAACTCATCCCAAATTTCAAAATGTCTAAAAAAGGATTGTTGTTATTAGGCTATTTTTAATTGACAATTATTCAAAACACTAAAAAAGGGTCAATGATTGTGGAGTCTGGAATCAACCCAAGCTCTTCGATTTCACATATGCAGTACAGATCATATATGTTACGGAGTACATTGATTGAAGATTTTTGTTTGTTCCTTTGGGAATATTTATTTTAGGTAAAGTTGGGGCACCGTTCCATCCTGTCATGCATGTCAAATCTGTTCCCCCAGGACACTTTCTTTTTCCGTTTTAAGCCACTGGTTCATATTTAATCATTCAAAAGGCAGCTGGCTGATATTTTTTCTCAGCTTTTGTTCTGCCTTAGTCATGTGGGGTACCCTTTTCATATAAAAAAATAAAAATAAATATTAAGGTTACAAAAATGGGTCAATTTTTTTAATTACCTAATAGATAAAATTAAATAAGAATTCACATTATAATCATGTAAAGTATAGTGTTCTAAACGTTTTAGATGTCCATCTTTGAAATTAAGTGTGGAGTGAATGTGTGGTAATTTCAAAACTAAATAGTAATAATATCTCATTGACATGTTTTAGCTGGCTGATATTTTTCCCAATTTTTGTTCTTGCTTAGTCATGTGGGTCCTCCTTTTCATATAAAAATAAAAAAAAATATTAAGGTTACAAAAATCAATCAATTTTTTTAATTACCTAATAGATAAAATTGAATAAGAACACACGTTGTAATAGTGTAAAATATAGTGTTATAAATCAATTCTAGATGTCCATTCTTGAAATTAAGCGTGGAGTGAATGTGTGATAATTTCAAAACTATATAGTAATAATATCTCATTGACATGTTTTAGATATCACATGTGAATTGATAGTCAAATACAAAATCTGAATAAGAAGCACACCATCTAAAATTGTAAACTTTTAAGATCGATCTTAGTAGAAAGAAAAAATATAGCAGAAATTTGTGAAGAACAGAGTCACAAAAGTGTGAGCTTATATTAAGGAAGGTGGGTGAGGGATTCAAGGACATGTTTGGGGATGGTCCGAAAACATGGGCTATCTACATCACATGCAATCCGCGTCTAAAAAAGTGGCTGTCGAATTAGGAGGGGGTCATCAGGCGTTAATGGGCTTGCGGGTAACCGGCCCGTTATCCTTCCACCGACAGGAGCGGAAAGTGCTCGCTGCTCTGTGAAACCAGCCTCACGCAGTACCCTCCAACTCTAGTGGCCGAGAGCTACGGGCCTTCGCCTGTAACTCATAGCCCAACTCCTTACTTGGACAGGACGAGCCAGTAAATTAACCCAGCCGAGCCCTACCATCTAAACCAGACCAATCTCCAACCACCTTCATGCCCTCACTTGAGTCACAGGCCCACGTTACAAGGCCCGGCAATGTTAATGACTTTCATGATGAGTTATATATCTTGAAATCTTAACTCCTTGAGCGATGTGGGATGAGAAGTTTGAGCATTCTACAACCTCAATGCTATACATGAGAGGAGTTAAAAATTGGAAACTCAGTTTAGCTTCATTTCTTTTCTAGTTTCACATCACTAGCCATTTTCAAGTTCTGCTCTAACATTACAAACATATTGCAGCTACAAATGAAATTCCAATCCAAGCTTCAAACTAATATTTGATAGATTTTTTATGGCATTGCACTTTTTTATTTGGCTATTCTCTCTCTTCCTGAGTCTCGGCTCAAAT